TGCTCCCCCTGCAGCAAGGCGACCCAGCCCCCCACATCCCTCCTCCCAGTGCTGGGGCACGTCCCCTCCTTTGAAAACCGCTGAGTTAGAGCATCTCTGCTTGTGTCCCTGCTGCTTCTGGGACTGTCTGGGCCCAACGAGGCGAAGTCCAGTTAATTCGTGGCAGGGAACAGTTGATCTGTTTTCTCTAGTCGCTAACGCCTGTCGCTTAGGGAACTGGGGTTCCGGTGATTGAGGCTTGTTTGCGGAGAGGGAAGTGCGGACTTCTCCATTCCCCTTGGCTGCCCCCCTGTCGGCTAGCCCTCTGCCCAGGTCACAGGCAATGGCGAGGGCCTTGCGTCCACAGTTAGCGGCGTAGGTGGAACGTGGGGAGCTTCGTTTCAAAGGGCTGAGAATGGTACGAGGGACTAGTTCCGTGGATTTACCTCCCCCGCCTAGATAAGCTTTCGGTGGAGCCAAATCCTTTGTTATGTCAGCCTCTGACCTGGGAAGTCCGATATTCACCCAGCAAGCGCTGCTCCAGCCGCTCCCGGTGGAACGTGGCCAGCGCTTTGTGGGGCACAGCCGTGGTTCAGGGGAGTTTTGCTCACGCACCTAATCCCACAAGGGGACAGGAGGTGCCTGGCCGGGGGCTTTCATCCGTCAGACGGATCCTGCCAGAGTTGCCGGGAGCAGAGACGCTGCTGCCCGGCATGAAGTCACAGTGACAAACCCCCAAGAGGGAGCAGGCCTGGGATGAGGCCCCGAATCCGAGCGATGGGATCCGGACAAGGGGGACAGCAGCGAGACCCCTCAGAGTCACCTTCACCACCTGCCCCTCTGCTTGGGTCAATTACGTATTTTATACCAGTAAAAACACAAGTAGTGACAGGAGAGACAGTGCCGGGTACACAGACAACGTCCTTCTCTAGCTTCCCATTTGGCCAGCGGCCTGCCAGAAACCCAGCGCAGCCCCACCTGGCAGCGGGCGGGCAGGGGAGGCCCAGGCCTGGAAGAGCAGGGGCAGACTGTGTAGGAGGAACCCGACGCTGCATAAATCTGTCAGCTCAGTCCCTCATTTTCATATGGGCCGGGCCCCCCAAGCTCTGGCGAGTGAGGGGACAATCGGGAGGGTCTTTCTCCTTCCTGTTTGGGGGCCATATCTGTGAGGGTTTTTTTTTTTTTTTTTTGCTTCTCACTCCTGTGCGGCCCCCGAATGATTTTCGGTGCCTCACAGCTCCCCTTGGCTGCAAACAACAAACCGGAGCCAAGGGGAGCTGCAAGGCTCCATGACTGCAGAGCAGTGAATAAACAAACTGGGGTAGCCAGTTCTCAGCTTTCTCACAGCGGAAACCCTGCTTTAGCAAAAGATCTCCAAGCACTTGCCAGCCACTAGAGAAATAAAGCACCACTCCAGTCTAATCATTGCACAGCTGGGTAAATCCAGACGCGGCACAAGTAAACAGGCCTAAGTCCATAGTCCTGTTCCCTCTAGATTCTTGTACCACCCCGCTCGCTGCGGCTGTGTGGCCAACCCTCATGATCGTTAGCGTTTTCCTTAAAGCCCAGTGTGACTTCAGTCGGTTTCTGAAGGAGCACTTGCATTGCTAGCCCTTGTGGCTGAGAAAAAAGCTTTAAAATACGACCCCCGTGTGCCCTAAGGGCTCAGAAACTAGCCCTTGTGGCTGAGAAAAAAGCTTTTAAATACGACCCCCGTGCGCCCTAAAGGCTCAGAAATCGAAAGGCAAACAAACCAACCCCAAATCTATTGCAGGCTGAACCTCTCTAATCCGGCACCCTCAGGACCTGACCGGTGCCAAACCAGAGAGTTTGCTAAACCACGAGAGGTCAATATTGTCTAGCAGCATCACCAACACTGGCACTGCTTGCTGGACCATTGGAGGACACTTTTAGTGGTAAATTGGAGCTAAATCACAGCACAGACCACTGAGAGCTAGGACCAGGGGCTGTAAACACACTTTACGGGACCACGGGAAACTTGGCCACACCCATGCTAGGTGGCCATCTGGCAAACTGAAATCGTGCCGGACTGTGGAAGTTGCCGGACTAGAGAGGTTCAACTTGAGCTGTAATTCTCTATCTTCGGTTTTGCAAATGGATTTGCATGGGAGTCCCCCTAAGCTGAATTGATCCCGAGTGCATGGAAGACCTGCAAGATTGGGCCCGTGTTTTGCATGTTCGGGGGAGCGAGTCCGTTTATTTTCAGTTGCGCGGCGCACCCGTACCTTGGAGAGAACGAAGTGTGTGCGAGTGTTACGACGCTGCTGGCTGGCTGGCTATCATAACAAGTTAAAAATAAACCCGGGTTTCCCCATAGTGTGGAACTAGCCCCCCTTTGAAATTTGAAGTGTGAAAGTGTCAGGCGTTTCCACACCTGTGACATGCAAAATATGTTCCTCCCAGACCAGAGCCAGCCGGAGACCCCGGAAATCCTTTCCCTGTTTAGTTTGTCTCCAGGGCGTTTTCAGTTTCTTTTAGAGAATTTATACCAGTCGCTCCCTCATTGTTAGGCTAAGGACCCAATCCTGTGCATACAGAGATTTTTGCCGTTGTTTTTCATGGGCGTTGGTGCCTGTAGACTGGTTCCTTCAGGGAGCCATGTACAGCTGGTTGGAAAATGGAGTTTTCTTTCTGCTGAACTCTTAAAAGAAGAAAAAAAGAGAATTCTTCCTGCCCCCCCAAATATGTGCTGTCATTTTTTTTTACACGTAGGGTGTGTCTAGACTACAGTGTTTTGTCGACAAAAGTGGACTTTGTTGACAAAACTATACCTGTGTCTACACTGCCACTGAGTTCTGTCAACGGCGGTAAACCTCATTCTACGAGGAATAACGCTTTTTGTCGACTGAGTTCTGTCGACAGAAGGCGTTATTTGTGTCCACACTGTTATGTCAACAAAGCGGCTTGCTTTGTCGACAGAACTGGATGTAGCCTAGATGCTCTTGGTCGAAAGAAGCTTTGTCGACAGTATCTGTCGATAAAACTTCTATCGACAAAAGCCTATAGTCTAGACGTACCCAAAATGTTGATTTTTTGCAAACAAACCTTCCCATAGTTTGGCTGAAAATTAAAATGATACCGTGGAAGAGCCTTGCTTATCAAAAGCCCAGTTTTGATGGACTGTTTGGATGGACAAATTTTCACACGCCCTGGCGCTCAGCAGTGTTGCAATTAGTGCAGTAAGTAGTTAATTAGTGTTTTTCTTAAGTTTCAGCTCCTGGAGTCAGGTGACTGTGCTGGTTTCTGCCTTTTTTGTTAAAGAAAAAATGACTTTCTGGCCCTTGGAGCTGTGGAGAAAACTTCAAAATGTGACCCTCTCCCCCTCCCCCTTCCCCCCGGGCACACTAGAGGCTGAGACGAGGCTGAGGAAAGGAGGAAACAGCTCTCTGGGTGGGAAAGGAAAGCTAAGCCAGGAGCCCTGCCGATGGGAGAGATTGTGTCCGAAGTATTTGCAGCTTTTTGTCTTCCCCCTGTTCCCGGGCCCTTTGTGTTCACTCTATTGATCGTTGGCTGCTCTGCTTTCCCCACGCAGTGTGCCGAGACTTTGCCGTGCTGGAAGATCACACCCTCGCTCACAGTCTGCAGGAGCAGGAGAGTAAGTGTCCGGCGCCCGGCCCTTGCGCTCTGTTTGTCTCAAGTTGGTCCCCGCAAAGTGCAGACGGGGCTGCAGAGCGGGCGGAAGAATCACTGGAGCTAATACTGGAGCAGCTGGGATTTCCAGAAGGGCTTGATGCATTTTGCTGTTGCGGGGGAATAGAGCATCCAATAGCAGTTTTACTAACCAAAGCTCTGCTTTGAATTGGGAATCAGATTTTGCCTACCCTTGTGATTGCTACACGCTGTTAACCAGCTGCTGTGCTAGCCCCCAGAGAGGGCTGCCTTTCTGTGGTAGGTGAGGTGATCCCTTTGGACCTAAATCTCTTTGAGGTGGTTTCTGGTAAAACTTTACACATGTGGTGGGGGGGTTTGCTTGTTGGTTTGTTTTTAAACATTGGCCAAGATTTTTTTACAAGCGCCTAGTAATTTCAGAAGCCTCAAGATTTAGGGGCCCGGTCTGAGGCACCTCAAAGGAGTCCGATCTGTCCTTTGACTCGCAGACCTCTTTAAGACGTCTCAGGTTGGATCCTGAAAACCTTGGACATTATCTTTACCTTGACGCAGTCCGGATGTTTTATCTTAGTCGCTTGCAGCTCTGTCTTGGGGGCTGGATGGAGTCCAGCGATCTATCGCTCTAGTGCCATTTCCTGTTTTTATTCTAGTGAAGATGAGGAGGGTCATCTAATCAGGGTCGTGTTGAGCTGTTGGGGGAGCCCATCTCATTTTGCCATATCGAAGGGGCTATTTGTGTCAAAAAGTCACCAACAAATTGAAACTTCCCAATTGGAAACCAGTTTCCCTGTGCTGAGGTTTACACTCAAGTTAAGTCACCCCCCATCCCGGCACGACACAGGTAAGCTGCCCAGCCCCCGGCCATAGACAGCTGGAATGCTTCTGTTGAGCTAGCTACAACCGCTCGAGGACGCGGGTTACCTGCACCCACGGGAGAACCCCCGCCCTCCGGCGTAGGCAGGGTCCGCACTGACTTGTGACAGCAGCGCAGCGTCATGTGTAGACGGGCCCTCCGCGTTGGGGGCTGCGGGCGCCGCCCTGGTGTAACCCTCCCCCTTTGACGTTCCTCTGCCTTCTCCTTCCAGTCGAACATCACTTGGCAACCAACGTCCAGCGCAACCGCCTGGTGCAGCATGACCTGCAGGTGGCCAAGCAGCTGCAGGAAGAGGAGGATCGGAGAGCCCGAACCCAGATCCAGAAGCGGCACAAGGACATGTGAGCATGGGAGGACGGCGGGTGGGTCCCGGGGTCGCTGCTGTCCCAACCGCTGGTGCAGATTCAGTGGGTCGTTAGCAGAGGACCCGCACCAAGGCCAGGCCACCTTGCTCCTCTCGCGCTCCCCTTTCTCTCTCCTCCGCAGGGAGGGCGCGTCCGCGTCGGTGAACTCGAGTCAACAGCTCGCGGCTGAGCCTCCCCCCCGGCCACCGCAGCCCAGCTGAGCCACAAGCCAAGCTACCTGGCTCTCGCCCCTCTCCCCCTGCAGCCCAACTGGGCTATAGGTTTCCCCTCTCTGCATCATGGGGGGCTCCTGCCCCCTTCCAGCGTGCTGGGCTCTCTGATCCAGGAACATCCACGGGCCTTCCAGACCAGAGAGTTCCAGTTTATAGAGGTGCAACCCGTGCACTAAAGAAACAGGTGATATGTAAGAGCTCAGCCTAGGAGTGGTTCTAATAATCTTCTGTCCAGGCCAGACGCCCTTCCCACCTGGGCCCAGTTCAGCCTTGTTCCCAGCAGTCATCTTGGTTGGGAGAGTTGGGGGGGACGGACAATCCGGACTACCTCACTCCCCGCCCTTAAATTGGGTTTACACAAGGCGGGAGCCCTTTGTTTCACACTTCTCCGGCTTCTCGTGGAACATTCCAGAATTCGAGATGGGTTCCAGGATCAGGTGACTTGGTCACATGTCTCCGTAGCCCTTCTTCACGGGCTGACCCACAGGCTCCCAGGAAGGTGACGCTCTTTGACCGTTCATGGTCTCTTGTTGTTGGGCCGTCAGCACGGTGGCCTCTTGCATTGTGGTCCTGGAAGTGGGGGCGACCCAAAGCAGCAAATACGTAATTACAGATGTGCAGGTCCATATTCCTAACTTCTGCTACAAAAATGGTACGTGCCCACAAACAGGATAACTCTATTCAGGAAATCATCACCTTTCCAGTGATGGGTTACGTGAGTCGCCTTGCCTAAAGTATTGCTCAGCTAAGACATATTTAGGGCCCTACCGAATTGACAACCATGAAAAACGCATCACAGACTGTGAAATCTGCTCTCTTGTACAGGGGAATAGCGCGCACAAATGATTTCATGGAGGAGACCAGTGTTTCTCAAACTGGGGAGTCCTGACCCAAAAGGGAGTTTAGAAAAGAGGAGACTGAGGGGGGATATGATAGAGGTCTATACAATCATGAGTGGTGTGGAGAGGGCCAGTAAAGAAAAGTTATTTATTAGTTCCCATATTAGAAGAACTAGAGGACACCAAATGAAATGAATGGGTAGCAGGTTTAAAACTAATAAAAGCAAGTTCTTCTTCACGCAGCGTGTAGTCAACCTGTGGAACTCCTTGCCAGAGGAGGCTGTGAAGGCTAGGACTATAATAGAGGTTAAAGAGAAGCTGGATAGGTTCATGGAGGTTAGGTCCATAAAAGGCTATTAGCCAGGGGATAAAATGGTGTCCCTGGCCTCTGTTTGTCAGAGGCTGGAGATGGATGGCAGGAGACAAATCGCTTGATCATTGCCTTCGGTCCACCCTCTCTGGGGCACCTGGTGCTGGCCGCTTTCGGCAGACAGGATACTGGGCTAGATGGATCTTTGGTCTGACCCAGGACGGCCGTTCTTATGATGTTATGTACAGGGTGATCACAAGGTTATTTTAGGGGCTCACATTGCTACCCTTACGTCTGTGCTGCTGCCTTCAGAGCTGAGTGGCAGAAGTTGGCCGAATGCCCAGCTCTGAAGGCAGTACCCCGCCAGCAGCAGTAAGGTTGGCAATACCCATACCAGGCCACCCCTACTTCCACACTGCTGCCTTCAGAGCTGGGCTCCCGGCCAGCAGCTGCTGCTCTTCAGCTCTGAAGGTGGCACCATCACCTGCAGCAGCGCAAAAGGAAGGATAGTAGCATTCTCCCTTCCCCCCTTCCCCACACACAATAACCTTGCAATAACTCCTTTTGGGGTCAGAATTCCTACAATTAAACATGACATTTCAGATTTAAAGAGCCGAAATCATGAAATTTACTTTTTTTTTAAACCCCTATGACCCTGAAATTGGCCAAAATGGCCTGTGAAGTTGGTAGGGTCCTAGACATAGTCACATCATTCACAGAGTAAAAGGAATATTCCATCCCAGCCTATCTGTGAAATGGGGATAACCTAGCCACCCACAGCACAGCTGGCTCATGTTTGAAATAGCTCGGAACCTACAAAGACCTGCAACAGTGCCATGCATTTTGACGAACCCCCTCTTACCAGATTTGCAGGTGTCGGCCTGTTTCCCGCTGTGTGTGTTTGTGCCGCTGAGTCGTGCGGAGAGCTGCGTATCTCCTGCCCTTGCGTCCTGTGTCCTGTGCCTTCATGCTCTTCGGAGTTTGTGGAGGCAGATGGTGTTTTGTGAGGCCACCCGATTTCAGCATGTTTCCGCGGAGACTCGCACTTTCCCATGGTGACTCAACTTCTTTGTGGGTTTTTGTCTCGTCGTTTCCCTAACTCGTAGATAAAAATCTCTCCGAGTGAACGCAAGGGTTGCACTTTGTGCCTGGACAAACACAACTCTCTCTCTCTTCCCTCGTTTAACTCCCTGCTCACCCTGCCTAGTTTCGTGTCCCCAAAGCCCTTGGGCTGACCAGAGGAGCAGGGAAGCGGGTGCACAGTTTGACGCTCTTGGGAGGCTGCAAAATTGGAAGTGTCAGAACAGCTGGAGCTTCCTGCTAAAGCTTGGGAAAGCGCTGACATAGCAGCCGCTCCATGCTAGTCTCCTCCAGCCTTTCGGCAACCAGGGCTGTACCACTAAAGGGGAAGGTCGAGGAGTACTAGCTGCCAATGGAGGTGCCCTCTGAGTTCGATTGAGCGGGTCTTTACTAGACCCACTCAATCGAACTCTGGAAGATCGATTGCCGCAGCCTCGATCTTGCCCAGAATGAAACCAGGACGTGAATCTCTTTGTTTTTTATTCTTCTATCTGCTTCTGCTGCCTCTTTCCTGCCTGTGACCATTTAGCCCTGTCTACAGATGACTTCACCGTCACAGCTAACCCAGGAGAATTTCCCTTCGGAAGGGGATTGGGAAATATCGATGCAGGGAAAGGCAATCACCTAAAAAATCAGTATCTTAATAGCCTGCTTTCTGAGGCTTTTGTACAGCCTGCATTTCCTTAGGTAGGAAGAGTTGAGGAAGATAAATGCCAGGACAGACACAGTTGAAAATAGATTTTTTTTTTTGTTTGTTTCAAGATTTTAATAAGGCATCCCCTCTTTTTACATTAGTTCTCAGAACACTTCCTAACTGTGGGTGGCAGCTTGCATACCCTGCCAGTCCTATGTAAATACGGGTGTTCTCGCACACCTGGCTGCACAATCTGAGCTGGTCTGTAGGTTTGCTTCACGCTGCATTGCTCACACTCCCACACAGCCTCTGTGAAAGGGACCCTCTCGCACGCCTCTTTCGCTTTGTGCCACTCCAGTTAGTTGCCAGAGCGAGTATGAACAGCAGTGGGTCCGTGAAACCCAATTTTTAAAAGTCCTGCAGTGAAAACAGGAGCAGAGATCCATGTAGGATTTTTCGGAACAAAGCCTCGTGGTTCTGAGTCTCCGGAGAAGGGAGACCGTTGGACTTAATGTCCGGGGATACTGAGGCCTGCTGCTTCTGTTGGCAGGCGGGGGCTGGCGTTCACGTACGTTAAAACGGGAAGGTCTTTGTTACACGACTAAGGCGTGCCTCTGTCGTGCGATTAAACGAAATTCCTGGTTGTTGCCAGCCAAGCAATGAAAGAGAAAGTACAAACCGCGGGTGTGATTCAGTGGTAAAGACAGCCCAGTACCTTGCAATGCCCCGGAGGTCTCATCAGGAGCCAGAAAATGCTTTTGTGCTAGAAAGTGCCGTGAGCAGAGGCAGCGGGTTGCTTCCCACGCTCGGTGAAATGCTTAGCTGTGCTCCCGTCCCTCACCCATCTGCCGGAAGGGGGTTTTTCATGGTTAGTCACTGCCTGGCAGTGGCCAATGGGGCCCATCGGGGCTGCTCGGCGGCGGCAGGGGAGAATTGCAGGTGCTCGGTACCTGTCAGGATCTGACCCTGGAGGTTTGGCTCTTCCTGGGCCCAAGCCCTCTGCGGTTTCGCTGAGTTTCTGGTTCAAAGGGATTTCCCATCAGCTCTGTGGGCGCACACACGTGTGTGTTTTGGGGCAGCAGTTTTGCATGGGGGTCACTCGAGACTGCCTGTCCCAGCTCAAGTCAGGTAGGCCCAAGACTTAGCCCAAGCTCCCAGTCTGTGAACAGGACCCTGTGGTCCTTGCTGGCAGCTGGGGGAGTCCCCCTGGGTTGGAGGGCTCTGGGAGGAGAGCCTCACGCCCCCCCCAGTTGTGAATTCCAGCGCTATTGGGGCGGGAGAAGTGGAAAGTGAAGGTGACCGGTGATGCAAGGGCCTCACAGCAGCCTCGTATCGCTGCCAGGGCTGAGCATAACTTCTGAACTTCATTTATCCTCCCTTCTTTCTTACTGGTTCAGGTTCCGTCCTTTGTCTTGCACAGTCAACCTGTGGAACTCCTTGCCAGAGGATGTGGTGAAGGCTAGGACTTACAGGGTTCAAAAAGAGAGAGATTCATGGAGATTAGGTCCCTCAATAATTATTAGCCAGGATGGGTAGGAGTGGTGTCCCTGGCCTCTGTTTGCCTGGAAATGGGTGACTAGGGAGGGATCACGTAATGATTGTCTATTGTGTTTCTCCCCCTCTGGGGCACCTGGCATTGGCCACTGTCGGCAGCCAGGACACTGGGCTGGACGGACCTTTGGTCTGACCCCGTCTGGCCGTTCTGATGTTCTAATGTCGTCTGCCTTCCCACCTTTTTCTCTGGCTGAGTTCTTCCACCCACACGCACTTGGCCACCGTCTCTGTGCCGCGTGTTTGCAGAGCCACTCGCCCCCTTCCGCCCACGCTGAAACCCCAGCCCGACTGACCTTTCCGGGGGTGTCTAGCTGCCCGCACAACACGGTGAGAACCGAGCCCTGATCTCTGCGGCCCTCCGCCAAACCTTTTCTCCATCGCTGTGAAATGCCCCTCCCAAGCCCTCCATCTGTCACGCAGGCCCCGAAGCCCGGCGTTCCCTTCCACGCAGGTCTCCCGAGGTCCTCCCGGCCAAGCTAGAAGTAAATCGTGCAGAGAGAACGGGCAAGAGCGCCTCTAAGACGGGGCCTTTTCTAGCCCAGGCTCCGCTGCGACTGCACCCTCCTCCTCCGGCCACGACAGCTCGCCTCCGGTGAGACTGCCGCTGCGAAACGCGTTCTCCTCTGTACCTGCAGCGTGCCGCCCGCCCAGCTCCAGAGCCAGTGCCGGCCTCCGCGGCTCGCTCCCGTGCTTCCCCTCCTGTTTGGGAGGAGCCCTCCAGGAGCATCCAGAAAGCAACCACGTTCTCCTTCTTCAGCTCTCTCCTTTGCTGCGAGGCCTCCTGCTGGCCAGTGCTGCCCCATTGTCTCCTGGCACTCCCGTGTCTGTCTGTCCCACGTCTGGTTTTCATTGCTGCCGCCCTCTCTCGGTTGTGTGGTTGTACAGCACCTGGCGCGGCGCTGCGGTAACACACAGAACAAAGAATAGCATTGGTGCTGGAGCCCCTCGTGCCTTTCTCCTCCTCTCTCGGCCGTCGGGCTGCTGTTCCCGCTCTGCACCGCGTGTAACCGCTTCTCCTTCTGCGTTCCAGAGAGCGGCAGGACTGCGAGATAGCCCAGGAAATCCAGGTGAAATTGGTGATCGAAGCGGAGCAGCGGCGCCGCCAAGAGGAGAAAGACGAGGTAACCCACCGCGACGCGGGGTAATGTCTATTGGCCCTGGCCGGCGGATGCCTGCTCTGCCATTGGCCAAACCAGCGGAGAATGCGTTTGCCTGGCGGGTGTTGGGTTACGCCCAGCTCCGTGTGCAGGGGCACGATGGGAGAGGCAGAGCACGGAGACTCTGTGCAGCTCCTTACGCACGAACGGGGCATCACCGGGCCTTGTGCTCTGGGGGCGGGAGAGCTGTGTAAACCCCCTTGGGCTCCAAGGGTACGTCTAAACTACATGACTCCGTCGACGGAGCCGTGTAGATTTGTTTGTTCGGCAGAGGGAAATGAAGCCGCGATTTGAATAATCGCGGCTTCATTTAAATTTAAATGGCTGCTGCGCTGAGCCGACAAACAGCTGATCAGCTGACAGTTGTTTTTTTCCAGATTCTTTTCTACTCCTGCAGAGAGAGAGGGAGAACAGTTTATAAACCTGTCAGGAGAATTCTCTGTGAAAAGGGGCATAGATGTGGAACCTTTTGCCTAGGAATCCAGAGCGTGTCTAAGGGTACGTCTAGACTACATGCCTCTGGCGACAGAGGCATGTAGATTAGGCTACCGGACATAGTAAAATGAAGCGGCGATTTAAATAATCGCCGCTTCACTGGGAGCGTCCAGTCTAGCGCGCTGAGCCGACAAGCAGCTGATCAGCTGTTTGTCGGCTCAGCGCGGCAGCCATTTACATTTAAATGAAGCCGCGATTATTCAAATCGGGGCTTCATTTCCCTTTGCCGATCAGCCTCATCTACATGGCTCCATCGATGGAGCCATGTAGTTTAGACACACCCCAAGAGTCCTGCACCTTTTGCTCTTTGGGAGGTCATCGCCGCAGAGGGCACCGACCATGGTGCGGTTTCTGGGGGGCCCCCCGGGGTCAGCATTTCTCCCTTTCTACTCTCAGCTCACTGGGAATGGGACTCGGCTGCCGGATCGGACTCCAAAGCACCATCCGGGCCCGTGGCACTAACGAGTTGACCAGACACACACACGAACCGGGGGGCGAAGGCGCAGGAGGGAAACTAGCGCGTGACGGTAACAGACCAAAGGGTCTGTGCCGTAAACGAGCAGAGCGCAGCCGACCCGTCCCTCCGTGCGCCCCTCTCGGAGACTCACCCTCCCTAGCCGCTTGCCAGGCAGCAATTGGCAATCTGCTTAGAGGGGCCCAAGTGGCCTATTCGCACGGGCCTCCGTGTGCAGCCCTGGGAGGTTTGTGGGGCGAAGGCTGGTAGACGAGAGCTAGAGGGTGAGGGGTGGGGGGGTGTCACGCGGGAGGGACCTGAGCCAAGGTGAAATTCACTAAGTGCTGGGTTTGCCGCTAGCCCAGCCGGTGTCAAATCATTTTTCTCATGACCCGATTGAAGAAATCGTTGATGCGACGACTCAACGTTATGTGACTGGAGTGGGGGCTCCAGGGTGGGGCTGAGGAGGAGCTTTGGGGTGCAGGAGGGGGCTCCAGCTTTGCGGGGGCTGGGGTGGGAGACGCTCGCCTTGAGCGGCTCTCAGGGAGTGGTGCAGTGGGGGGGCTAAGGCAGCTTCCTGCCTCTCCTGGCACCACAGACCAGGCTGCGCCCAGAAGCAGCCGCAGCAGGTTCCCAGCCAATGGGAGTGTGGAGCTAGTGCTCGGGGTGGGGGCAGTGCGCAGAGCCCTGTGCTCTCCCCTCCCCCACACACCTAGGAGCCGGGCCTGCTGCGACCGCTTCTGGGGCGCAGCACAGTCTGGTGCCAGGACAGGCAGGGAGCTGTCTTAGCCCCCCACTGCTCACCCAATCCCCCTGCAGCCACGAGACCAAGGCCTGACGTTCCCGCCCCCACAGCGCTGAGGCACGACCTCTAGTGTGAAAGCCGTTGCTGTAGCTAACTCCTATCCTTGGTCGGGGTTTCTGGGCGCAGGGACTGAGAGATCTGAGTCCTGTTCAGACGCTCTGGATACGTCCTTGAATGTCTTTACAGTGGCATATTTACAGCCTCGTCCCCATAGGCTGGAGGGGGCGGCGTTCACGCTGCCACCCTCTGACTTCTGCCGGCGCCAGTGTCCCGTTTAGTCAGCAGGCTCCTTCCAGAGAGAGGCTACGTCTAGACTGCAGGGCTTTCCGGAATACGGGACCCAGAGGTATCCCGGAAAAGCTCTGGCGTGTCCGAGGAACGCGTCCACTTTTCCAAGAAAAGTCAGAAAAGCGGATGCGCTCGTTCGCCTTCCCTGCAGACCTTGTTCTGCGAGGGAGAAGGGATGTGGGGAAAGAGGGGGTTGGTCCGGAATGTGGCGCCGTGTAGACGCGCCCACTTTCGGAAAAGCCTCTTTCCAAAGAAAAGCGGGGGGAAGAGACGCCCCTTGCAAACTATGTGCGTCTCTTTTCCCGACTTTTCTTTGTCGTGGAGACGTAGCCAAAGGTGCTTCTCAGCCGGAGGAGAATTGCCGTCCATGACAGGCCTGCGCAACCCGGCGTGCCAAGGCCGAACAGACGCGCCCCTTAGTACGTGCCGAGCTGGGCCCCGATCCTGAACACTGGCCGACCTGGGTAGCACCCTGGGACCTTTCTGAACAGGGCCCTAGCATGGGGCTGCCCGTGTCCGCAGGGGACTGGACTCAGCGACCCTCAGGGGCCTTAAAAGGGGCGAGGAACCTTTTCTGGCTCAGGGGCTGCGGACTCTCAGAAAAATTTGTCGGGGGCCGCACCAAAGTGAGAAGCAAAAAAAAGCCCCTCTCTGAGTTGTCCCCGGCTCAGAAGCAGAAAGACCCTCCCCACATCCCCCTCCCACACCAGTGTCTAGGGGGCCTGGGCTAGTAGATTCTGTGGGTCCCCCTACCCTCTGGGTTGGGGCCAAAAATGAGGCGCTCAGTGCAGCGGGTCGGGGTTGGGGGGGCTACAGGGCTAGAGTGTCAGTGCCCCGATCGTGGGGAGGGAGCCTTGGGGACCGGACCCAGGCAAGCGGGGGGCCGGATCCAGTCCCCAGGCCTCAGGTTCCCCTCCCCTGCCTTAAAGCCCTATGTCCTGAGGTAATTCCCACAGGATTCGGGTCTTAGTGCTGTAGCTTGGGTCCCTGGCGCGGTGCCAGACTCGACGCTCCCCCTGCACTCCAGGGTGGATTGTTTACTGGGGAGGGAGCCTTGGGGACCGGACCCAGGCAAGCGGGGGGCCGGATCCAGTCCCCAGGCCTCAGGTTCCCCTCCCCTGCCTTAAAGCCCTATGTCCTGAGGTAATTCCCACAGGATTCGGGTCTTAGTGCTGTAGCTTGGGTCCCTGGCGCGGTGCCAGACTCGACGCTCCCCCTGCACTCCAGGGTGGATTGTTTACTGAGTGTGTCTGGTGACTCCGGTCACGCTGCTCGTGCGATAACGCCGCACGGGCTCGGTGCGAAGGGCCTGCCAGGCAGCGGGCTGCAGAGGAGCACTTGGTCTACCCGGTCAGTATCCGCTTTCTGAGAGCTGTCCCAGGCCCATAGGCGCTGTGCTCAGGTTGATCTATCGCCGGGCTACCCGGAGCCGAGAGAGGAGGGGTTGTGACTCACCCAGCCGGGCAGAGGGATGTTTCCGTGAACGCCACACGGTGCCCCCAGCTGCCTTGCCAAGGAGACGGGGGTTCAAACCAGCCCTTTTCGGTAAATAATGCAAATCCTACGTTTGAATTTAAACTCCAGCAGTAAACTCCTCGGTGCCCCAGCAGAAATAGAAGCGTGTCTGGTGTGGTTGATAGGGATGTGAACGGTTACATGATTCACCGGTTACCCGGTAAGCATTAACCGTACTGGCATGCTTCCTGGGTAACTAGTTAACCAGAGGGCCTTGCCGGCGGGAGCAAACAGCCCCTCCAGCCTGGGTGGCCTGGCTGGCAAGACCCCAGCCGCAGCAGGCCGGAGAAGCCCCCAGCCCCTGTGGTTAACTGGTTAACAGTTGTAGGCGATTTTCACACCCCTCGATAATGATCGCTGTTTGTAACCACAATACTTGTGCATCGCCCTGTCCTGCCAGCACTTCCCGGGCCTACTGACCTGTCAGTCCTCCCAGCCCTCATGGGAAGAGGCCCTCGTCTTCTATTTCTTTATCCTCACAATGGGGACAAAGAGGTGAAGGGACTTGGTCTGGTGTCTCGGTGCGTCAGTAGCAGAGCTGGGAGCACACCGGGCTTCTGACTCACTGGGTCTACAGGCACCGTGTCATCTTGCCTTTCCCTGATGGGCATTTCCAGCAGCTTCCCAGCTACCCCCGGGGTCCAGGCGACCGGCGAGGGAGTTGGGGCTAAGCGTGCGAAGGTGGTTCCTACGGTCTCTCGCACGAGGGACTTTTAGTGCACACAGCAGGGTCCGCAGGCTGGAATTTCCATCCCTTGGGTAAGGTCTATAGACCGGGCGGACAAGCCCTTCGGCTGGCGTTCTCTTCTCGGCTCTCCCAGCGGTTTTGCTGGCGGAGGGGGCTCCAAACGAGGGAGGGCGTCTAGGGGAGAGGCCAGGGAGAGCGCGGTCATGGGGGTTGTATCAGGGTCTTCGCCCGCTGATGCGGAATGGGGGAGGCTGATAGGACCTTGTGTGTCTGTGGCAGCGCTGAGCCATGGGGGCCTCCCCGTGCTCAAAGCAGACTCACCTGAAGCCGACTTCAAATCAAATGAAACATGGCCCCATGCCCCCTGCATATAGGGCCAAACAGGAGGCCCCCGGCAGTGACCCACATGCTGGGGAGGCAAAACAGCGAGGTAAAGAGGTTAAAATCATGTTAAAACAACAAAACACGTTCCTTACAATTATTAAATTTGTAATACTTGAAAAGCTTTATCCTAATGTCACAATTAACACTGGCTGTTTACTCTTAGCAATTAGACTAAATAATGAAAATATGTTTAGTCAGTTTCACTGTGCGCTGTCATACTAAAGCACTGGAACAAAGAATAAGTTAATTGTTCTACAATGACTGAACTTGCTTTGAATATTAATTTTATGACAGCACCGTTTGGGTGCTTTGGAAATAGAGATTACTTGACTATCTTTAACTTTGTATGTATTATATGTATATGTTTGTGTGCATTATATGTATATGTCTGTAAACCTCGTTCTACAAGGCCTAAGGAGAGTGGTCGACAAAGGCTTCCCCTGTCAACCAAGCTGAGTCTTGACTCTCACGCTGTGCCGATGATCAGCTGAGCTGGCACAGCGCGGTGACCATTTTTATTTTAATGAATCCGGGGATATTTAAATCCCTGCTTCAGTGACTTTGTCGGGTAGCCTATTTTACATGCCTCTGTCGGCAGAGGCATGTAGTCTAGACACACCCTTAGAGACTAACCAAAATATAGAGAATCATGAGCTTTCGTGGGCAAAACCCACTTCCTCAGATGAGTTGGAGTGGGAATAACAGAGTCCAAGATAATTAAACGGGCCGAATGTGTCCCGTGCATAGCTTTTGATGTGGAAATACGGCCACACTAGGTCAGACCAACGGCCCATCCAGCCCAGTGTCCTGTCTTCCCACAGTGGCCAGTGTCAGGTGCCCCAGAGGGAATCATCCAGTGATCCCTCCCCTGTCACGCATTTCCAGCCTCTGACAAACAGGCTAAGGGACACCATTCCTACCCAGCCTGGCCAATAGCCATTGATGGACTTAATCTCCTGGCTAATAAGTATTGATGGACCTAACCTCCATTAATTTATCTAGTTCTTTTTGAACCCTGTTCAAGTCCTGACCTTCACCACATCCTCTGGCAAGGAGTTCCACAGGTTAATTGTGTGCTGTGTGAAGAAAAACCTTCTTTTGTTTGTTTTAAATCTGCTGCCTATTAAATGCAGATGTTAAAAGCAGGAGAAATTGAATAAGGTGCCACAGGACTACTCATTGCTTTTAAAGTTACGGACTAGCATGGTTACACCTTTTGAGATTCTTCCTTTCTTTGGATATTCTGCCTTTTGGGGCTGTGCAAGTGATCACCTTCAAAATCAGCGTTCCACATACTATCCTAGAAACATAGGACTGGCAGAGACCTCTGTAGGTCATGAAGTCCAGTCCCCTGCTCCAAGACAGGGCTAAGTGTATGATCTAGGACATCTCTGACATGGATTTCTCTAACCTGCTCTTAAAAGTCTCCAATGACAGAAATGCCACAGTTGTAAGTGATGGAGCCTGACCGGGGACCTTTATCTTATAGCCATTGGGATGGGAATACTCCCCCTTCTATTCCCAAACCCATTCCCTGCCTCCTACTAAAACACCCTCCCCCTTCAAAAAAACCCCAAATAAACTACTATCACAGAGCTTTAACCCTGGGAAAGGGGGAAGTGTCAGACAGAAATTTTGCTATTGCTTTCAATTTTTTTGTGGACTGCACGCCGATACTATAGTGATGGGTGACAGTACAGAACTGCCATTCTTATCATACAAAATAAGGGGCATTCAGTCAAATGCAAAGGCACCAAATTGAAACACAATAAAAGAAATAGCTGTTGGCATGGTTCATAATTTACCCATGGAACTCACCGCCACAGGAAAATATTGAGCCAAGAGCTTAGTGTAGGAGTCACAAAAGAATTGTTCATTCAGAAAAGTATGGAGATGATTTCCAGATACATTTGATGTCAGGATTTTAAAAAAAAAGTGTTTTGGTGAGGGAGGTGAGACCACCGTTTGCAGAGGGGGGAAGCGGGTCGCGAGCGGCTTGTGGGACCAAGGGAGTTGGTGCCCACATTGGGACTCAGAAGCTCCTGGCTTCAGGCCTCCCACGCTTGAAGCTCCTCCGAGTCAACAGTGTGTCAGGGTCACGGCCAACTCTCCACGAGGGCGTCGCGGCACGTCTGGCTGCCTCTGCCCGCCCTCGCCCCGGGGAGGATCCATCCCTTTGGGAACTGGGGGTGGGATTCAGCAGTGGCAGGCAGCCTGACGCCCACGGGGGCAAGGCCACTTGCGTGGCCCACTCGCTGGACTCATGCCTGCGCCTTCCCCACCCAGCCACCGCACCTGCAATTGGCCGCGTCACACAACATCATCCCTCCCCACCTGCCATTGCTAAAACGGAGCCGTCCCTTCCCAGGCCGGGCTCCCATCCGCTGCGCGAGAGTAGAGCAGCCGAGCGCAGCGGGTGCTGATTCGCTCCCTGGTGCCCCCTGCACGCGTCTTTGTGCCCTGGCGGGAGGAGGTTGTCCGGGGAATCCGGCCTCCCCAAAGCAAAGGTCGGGGGAAGAGCCGGACAGGCCCCGCATCCATTCGGGGCTGTGGAATCCATATTCCTGGAGATATTCCAGAGCAGGTTGGACACACACCTGTCAGGGATGCTCTAGATGGTGCTTGTCCTGCCGTGGGGGCAGGGGACTGGACTTGGTGACCTCGCGAGGTCCCTTCCAGTTCTAGGGTTCTAGGATTCTCTTTGGTGAGAGAGCTGTGAGCCCCGTCCACCAGCAGGTAGGTCCGGCTGTCACTAGACCTCCCCGTGTCTTTGTTTTTCCAGGGGTGAACGGAGGGTAATGCCCTAAATCCCTGGGATGCTGCGAGGGTGAATCCCCTACCGGCCATGCCCATGGGGACCCTCGGAGGGGGGCCCTTTGGGAACGCGAAGGCTTGTGACGTCCACCGTGCTGTTCGTATCCATCGCATCCATAGCCGTGACCGGCACGACTGAGCACCTGGAGCTTGGCGATAGTAATAAGCGAGCGGGAGAGAAAATGCCCGGCGTTCTCGGGTCGGGTCATGACCTCGTCTCTCCATCTCCTCTAGGACATTGCCCGCATCCTACAGCAGAAGGAGCTGCAGGAAGAAAAGAAGCGTAAAAAGCACCACCCAGATCCCCCGGGTCTCCCCTTGCAAGAGGACAGTTACTACGCCGAGAACGGAGGTAACTCTCCTTCCTGCGCTGCCGTGCGGGGCTTCTGAGCTAAACTGCCGGGGGTGCTGGGCTTTGGGGCAAGCTCCTTTCTACTGGTCTAGTGAGGTCTCTTAGGGTTTGTCCTTGGCTTCTTTGTCTAGCCCTGGGCCAGAATGAGATTGAATCGAGCCCTTCTCCCTGTTTTTATTTTCATTTTCTGTAAAATGGGTCGTAGGGCGGGGAGGGTGTGCGAGTAAAACCCGCCTGTGGCTAAATGTGGCAGACAGCGTGGGTCACGAGCGCTGAAAGTGATTTGGACGCTACCGTTTTAAGGACAGTTTCCATTCCGGGCGTGGGCCTATGAAATCCCGGCAGTGGCGTGACGCGTAATAACCGGTCTATGGAGCGGCCTTTCAAACAGAATTGGAACCAGTATATTCAACCGGTCTGACTTACTGAAAACCAGCAGCGCCTCCAGAGAACCGCTTCGCCAAGATTATCCCTCTGGTCTGTTAATTGTGGAAAGAATATAATCGGCCGGGCTGCTTGTCCCTGGGGACCTGCTTTTGTGATCAAACACAGACTCCCGCCAGGTCAGGAGAGAATCAGGATGCTTCATGATTGAACTGCGTGAAAACGGCTCTGCTTTTCGCTGGTGGTGGTTCTTTCTGGCGTTCTCCCTGAAAATGGGTGTGGGAAAAGGACGGGCCAGTGTTGATTCAGGAATTGTACTGTTGAAGATCAGGCTTCTGATTTCTATGCTTCCGATCTGTGTCTGATGATTGCGTGTTTTCTCTACCCTCCCAAGTGAAATATTTAACTACAAATCTGCCAGGCACAAGCTTTAGGGTAGCCAGAAAGTTCGTATCACAAACTAGGTAGGAGCGACCGTGGAAAGGTCAGAATCGGGAGAGTTACTGGGCACAGAATAGTCTCCCAGCGACAGCAGTGGTTGTCTGTTTGGAATTAGACGTGACGAGTCCCTGGGGGACGTACTGTCGGGGGATAATTTTGCACCTGCGGGGGTGAACAGATCGGCTCGATTTCGTAACCCAAGTTAGGGAGGGAAAAGAGCTCCGATTCGCTGAATCTACATGCTGAGAAGATACGCAGCACCGCGTGTGATGCTCGTGGGGTGTGGGATATCCCAACAAAGGCTGCAGTGTGGAATGGGGATGTTTCCCTTCCATCAGACACCAGCTGACATGGTGTCTAGCCACATGATCCAGGCATGGGAGGGGCAAGATAGATGGTCCTTCATCAGCCAGTAATAGGGTCTTTTATTTCTCCTTGTGTTTAGCAACCAGGTAGCACAGGAGTGGGTTCTCTGCAAGCACTGAGAGCACCTGGTGTGTTGTGATCACAAGGTGATAAGGACCCAGTGTTTGTTAATTTGTTTTATCCTCACTTGAGATGGGTTCTAGCTGCACAGTGCTATGATCAGGAACCCAGCTTTCCCTGCATTCAGAATGGGTGAGGGCCTGGGCTTCTCTCTATTCTTAAAAGGAAAACTAAATCCAAAAGAAAACAAATTCTGTCCTGGAAACGTCTGTGCCATGGAAAATATTGCCATGTCCCCCCCGTTGCTTATTGCTGGTCCCCTAAGAGAGCTCACGGTGTGATTATTGCAGGTTGGCTGGACGCTAACTGCCTGAGAGTCCCTGAAACCATATTTCCCACTCAAGTTGTCTGGCATGGCAGACTCACCCGCGCAGAAACTATCCTTTCCCAGCCGAGCTTCTGCATGGCATGCTGCTCTCCCTTTCCCAGGCGGTTCATTCGTTTGCTTTTCCCGAGTGGTGCAGACATGATTACACTAATCATAAGTGATGCTGGGTTGGAAGCGCTTGATAGCAATGTTCCCTCTAATCTTTTCTATCCACCTGTAGAATAAATTGTCCTATGTGCGCCAAGGCATGTGCACCACCCGTAGAAACAAAAACCAAGCTATGGGCACTCTGTTAATCAGCTAGACGGTGTTTGAATCTCTCTGTACAAGCACCCAGTTTACAGAGAACACTGCTTCTGAGTGTTGTGCAAAAACGGACTCCTTGCTTTCTGCCTCGGCTTTCATTTCTAATCATTGTTCAGTAATTCATCCCGTTTGTTTGGTTTTTTTAAACCACTGTTCCTGATCCGCAGAACATTCACCATTTGCACTTGTCCAGGAAAACCTGCCATTTAACGGACCCTGCCACATGCACCCTTTCTGCTCTCGGGTTTTTGATTTTTAGAAGATACAGAAACTTTCTAAGCAGTATGATTTAAAGGGGCCCAGTTGTTTTTATCCCCAAATTTGGCTACTAGTAATGGTTAATTGTGCTTTCCTTAAATCAGAACACAGACAACGTGTGATTGAACCCTCGTAACATGACCTTAGCTATTACATGCAGACGTTGTAGCCATGTTTGCTCCAGGATATTAGCGAGACAAGGTGAATGAGGTGGTATGTTTTTTTTCAATTGGACCAACATCTGTTGATGAGAGAGGCAAGCTTTTGAGCTTACACAGGGCTCTTCCTCAAGTCTGGGAAAGGTACTCGGAGTATAACAACACTACAGATCAGTGTGGTATAATTTGCATCAGCACAGTCAACCTGCGGAACTCCTTTCCACAGGATGTGGTGAAGACCAGGACTTTAACTGGGTTAAAAAAAGAGCTAGATAGATTCATTGAGGTTAGATCCATCAATGGCTGTTAGCCATGTGGAAGAAAACAAGTCCTCACTCTGTGTTTGGTAAGCAACAAGTCAGAGATAGTTTATTCGAGTCATTGCAAGGGAAGACTGCAGAAAACAAGTCCTCAGCCAGGATGGGTAGGAGTGGTGTCCCTTGCCTCTGTTGGTCTGGAGATGGGTGACAGGAGAGGGATAACATGCGGATTCCCTGTTGTGTTCCCTCCCTCTGGGGCACCTGCAATTGTCCACTGTCAGCAGACAGGGTACCGGGCTGGATGGACCTTTGGTCTGATCCAGTACGGCCGGTCTTCCGTTCTAACATATCCAGGCCAGCTCCTTGGGGACCTGACCGGTGCCGACCCAGTGTGGCCGTTCTTGTATTCTTATGCATCACTTAGGGGTGTGAATAAACCACACCCCTGAGCGACATACGTTACACCGACCTACGTATCAGTGTGGACAGTGCTGTGTTGGCTGTAGAACTTCTCCCACCGACAGTTACTCCTCTCGCAGAGGTGGAGTTAGGAAGCCAACAGGGAAGCACATCTTCAGCAGCGTGGCGCTGTGGTATGCACACAGCCTCCGCGTCACCGCTAAATACAAGGCTGAGCCGATGGTCTCACGTTGCTTGCGAACACATTTCACGGCGACGTGGCCAGTGACACCAGACAATCCTTGCACTCTTGGGTGGCCTCACACAACAATATTCCAATACTGTCCACACCAGCGCTTTGGTGGCTGAAACATGTCGGTCACAGGCGTAGGCTGCCCAGCAAAAATGGGTGCTAGTGCAGACTTAGCCTTAGACTCATGGACTGAATAAAGACCCGGGATTTATGGGTTATTGCAACCTGTAATTACTAATTATTCCCTCCCCCTAGGATTTTTTCCCCTCGACCTCTCTCCAGTAACAGGAAGTTCATGGCTAGTTCACCTGGAATGGGCTCTTGGAAAGCATGTTAAGCAATTTGTTCCACTTCCTATTCACCTGGGACACTCTGTACGTCTACACTGGAGTAAAAGACCCAGGGCCCGGCTGTTGCTGGCCCAGGGGCGTGGTTTGGGGGGGGGGGGGGGGGGGCGAAGACTGTTTTTTGAGGACAGAGACCAGGTGTAGGTCCCAGAGCCAACCCTGAACCGTCCACGGAGCCAGGCCAGCTAGAGGGACTTCTTTGCATTGTAAACACATGCTCCGAATACATTTCCCAGACCGGGAGAGGAGCTCTGCCCAGCTTGAAAGCTTGTCTCTCGCCCACAAAAGTTGGTCCAAGAAAAGAGACCACCTCACCCGCCTTGTCTGTCTTTGCTTTTATGATCTTTTGTGCCAGCTTCCCAGGAGTACTGGCATCAGTGGGGCAATCTCTGCGTTCCATTTAGCAGGTCTTTCCTAGACTCGCTACATCAAGCGCCAGAAGATCGACCACCGCAGCCTTACAATCCGTCTAGACTATAGGCTTTTGTCGACAGGGGTTTTGTCGACAGATACTGTCGACAAAGCTTCTGTCGACAAAGAGCTTCTAGACTACATCCAGTTCTGTCGGCAAAGCAAGCCGCTTTGTCGACATGAGAGTGTAGACGCAAAGGACAGTGTAGATACAATAACGGCTTCTGTCGACAGAACTCTGTCAACAAAAGACGCTATTCCTCGTAGAATGAGGTTTACCGCCATTGACAAAACTGCTGAGTTCTGTCAACGTTATGTTGACAGAACTCAGGGGCAGTGTAGACGCAGGTATAGTTTTATGGACAAAAGTCCACTTTTGTCAACAAAACCCTGTAGTGTAGACACACGCTTAAGAGACTAGATTTTAATTCTCTAATGAGGGAACTAAAGCCAGCTGATTGCCTGCTTTCTGATTCAGCAATAGGGTTGTTAACTCCTCTTGACTTTTCATGCCCAGCGCTCACAGACCATTGTAAAGGGTGAGCTTATCAAACAGCAGAATTGGCCTGCCTCCAAGCTGCCTTACTTCACAGCTTGGAGCTTTATTCCCCCCACTTGAAAACACACAGTGATGGTGCTTTTCCCCCTTTGCCGAACTCTTTAGAGCAAACACAAGGCCCGAGACCTGCTCTGCCTCTGCTCAGCACCGACACCGAAGCCAAAACGTTTCTGGAGGCCTGAGTGCATTTTGGCTTCTTATTCCCTTCCCCCTCCTTCCGCCCCTCTCCATTGCCAAACTGGTTCTGGGTGGGCCCAGGAGCCATCGGAAGTGAAGAGACACCATGAAACGGGCCCTTTGTCAGCCTGGCCAGCAGCGAGAGAGTCCCCCCGCCCTCGCCATTCGAGGTGCCCAGCCGATTTTCCTCAGAGGCTCAGGCATTCGATGAGGATTCAGGTGACTGGGTGCTTACCCCACCAAACCTGCACCATGTTCGTCCCTTGTCCACCGCTTCCTCCTCCTGCCCTAGGAGCGCGTCTAGTGTAGCGGCTAGATTAGGGCCCCGCTGTGCTGTGTAACTCCAGCTGCCCGCCTGGGCCGCAGCCTCCCACTGCGGCCCTGCGTGTTTTGTGCTGCCATCTTCCCCGTGTCGGTGTGGCGCTGTCTTCTCCTCTTGGCCCACACCGAGCTGCTGCCGCAGAGTGAGCCCCCCCCCGCATTGCCATGGTCTTGTGTGTCACTAACCGTCTTCGTTGTTTGTCCCGCCCGCCCCCCCGTCGCCCAGGCCACCCGCGGGGCCGCTCCAGAGAGCAGGTTTCCGAGCACGCACGGCCCCGCAGGGCCCGGAGCGGTGACCGGCGCGCCTGTGAGCAGAGAGACCCCCAAAGAGCATCCCTGGCGCTGTCGGATAACGCCACGGAGCATCAGCGCCCTGCTCCCCAGAGCTCTCCTCAGCAGAGCGAGGCCAGGGGCGGCCAGCAACGCAGCAGAGAGCGGCGGAAACCCGCCAGCCAGGAGAGGCCTCAGAGACCTCCCAGCCTCAATCTGGACAGGACAGCTGACTGTGCGGCCTGGGACCAGAGCAGCAGCTCGGAAAGGAAACCCCAGAGTTGGGAGAAATCCAGGAGACCTCCCAGCCTCGATCTGGACACACCAAATGACGATCAGGCCTGGGAGCAGCCGGAAAGGAAACCAGCTGGCCGGGAGAAGCCTCGGAGACCTCCCAGCCTTGATCTGGACAGGACAGTTGACGATCAGGCCTGGGAGCAGCCGGAAAGGAAACCAGCTGGCCGGGAGAAGCCTCGGAGACCTCCCAGCCTTGATCTGGACAGGACAGTTGACGATCAGGCCTTGGAGCGGCCGGAAAGGAAACCAGCTAGCCGGGAGAACCCTCGGGGACCTCCCAGCCTTGATCTGGACACACCAAATGACGATCAGGCCCGGGAGCGGCCGGAAAGGAAACCAGCTAGCCGGGAGAACCCTCGGGGACCTCCCAGCCTTGATCTGGACACACCAAATGACGATCAGGCCCGGGAGCGGCCGGAAAGGAAACCAGCTAGCCAGGAGAACCCTCGGGGACCTCCCAGCCGGGATGCAGGACCCAAGGCCGGCCGTGCGACCTGGGAGCACAAAGAAAGCAAGCCGTTGAGCCAGGAGAGGCCCCGGAGGCCTCCTGCTCTTCAGCTGGACCTGGAGAGCGATCCAGGAGCCTGGGGCCATAGCAGAGGCCAGCAGAAGAGAGAGAAGAAACCCTTGGGCAAAGCGAGACCCCGCCCAGCTCCCAGTCCTGATCTGGAGGCCGCCTGGGAGCCCAGCAGCAGCCCCTTATCAAATCCAGAAAACCCCAGGTCCCGCCGCCACGACCGTCTGTCCCCAGGCGGGCCTTGTGACGCGAGGCTCCGTGAGGCAGAGGAATTGCCCAGGCACGAGCCTCGGAGGGGTGAGGAGAGGGATTACCACAGAGCCGGACACGGGCCAAGCACTTCTCCCTCCCCTCACGCCGAGAGCTGGGACAAGGACAGAGACCGCCTCCGAGACCCAGGTAACTGGCAAGGGGGCTGCGGGAAGGCTGCACGGTGTGAGCCTGGGTTGTGTTGGGTGGCCCTGGTTCTTCTCGAGGCCTTGTCCGGAAGATGGTCTGGGCCCCTCTGCGGCCCACCAGCTGGTTTCCTAGGCGTGCGTTAGAAAGGCCATGGGGAAGCCCCCGATTTCCTCCCGCTCCAGCGTGCTAGTTCTGCATCGCCTCTTCGGACGCAACGGTGATCGGAGCTGGCCCGGGAGCTAGACTGCAAGTGGCCTTCACGGGTCTCCCCTCTTGGCCTCTGAACGTGGAGGCTTTCCGGGGTAGGCTCGTGGGCGGGTGAAAAGCAATTGCCATAGAAAGGGGGTTTGGTGGAAACCGCCTTTTAGTAAGGACACTAATCACCGTCGGCGCATTCCCTGCACCAAGACGGTGTGGGGCCAGCTGGCAAACTCGACCGGGCCTGATCGTAGGCTGAATAGGGAGGCAAGTCCCTGTCCCCCAGAGGGAGGGGGCGGTCTTTTTGGGGACTGTTTTCAACAGCGCCCAGCCCCCCTTCAGCCCCCGCTGTTCCCTGGGGCCCCAGCTACCTCCGTCAGGAGCTCTTGGGGGTGAAAGTCCCGCTGGGTGGGTGTGGAGATGCCTGAATGGGAGCCCAGGGGACGGAGCTATTGTACAACCCGGCCAAATGGGAAGAGCCAAAGAGGGAGAATTTCTCTTTTTAAAGAGCCACGTGTCTCCTGGCTCCTTCTGCAGGCAGCTGGGGAGCATTTGAAAATCCAGATATGCCTGGGGAGCATGAGCACTTACTTCAACACATCTGTTCAAGACAGAAGCCAGGCGTTTGGAGGGGTCGGGGGGCTAGTATCAGCCCACCTTAGTGGGCAGCTAACTGGCCTTTTTGGCCACTCCCCTCTCGGGAAGGTGGAGGGCCCGACTTTACCCACCTCGCAGGGGGCGGAGCTTACGCTCTTCTCCACTCTCCTGCCGAGGTTTGTGCGGGGAGGGCTTGGAAAGGTAACGTGTGTGTATCAAGGGTCACCGCCCTCCTCTGGGGGCCCCGGCATAGCCGCCCACTGCACGTACAGTGACTAGGGCGATTCAAAGAGCCAAGCTATACGCGGAGCGGCTCCTTGCCTCTTCCCTGGGCCCTGATTATCGCGGGTCCCTGCTGCTTCCCGTGGGCAGGAGCAATATGGGAAGGACTGTCTCTCCATTCGATCCGTTCAGCTTAACGAAGGGAAGGCCAAGGAGTGACTTGGTTACAGACTATAACCGTCTACGTGGGGAACAGCTATTTGAGGAGGGGCTTTTCGGTCCAGTGGACAGAGGGATAAGGCGATCCAGTGCATGGAAGTGGGAGCCAGACAAATTCAACAGAAAATGAGGTGTGAATGTTTAATGGTCAGAGGTGTGAATGTTTAGCCCTCAGAGGTGTGAATGGTTAGCGCTCAGAGGTGTGAATGTTTAGTGCTCAGAGGTGTGAATGTTTAGCGCTGTCCCTGGCTGGTTTTGCAGAGTCCACCATCTCAGGGAGGCTGTTCCTGCATCGCTGTCTCCAGTAGTGGGCCCCCCCTGGGCCAGGACCACCTGGGAAAGCAACCTGGTGCCGTTAGGGGTGTGTGTGTGGGGGGGTCCCATTCAGAGCTGCTGGGGCCCGGAGGGGTTTTTTTCTCCCCGCACTCAGGAGGCGGTGTATGCCAAGCCCCGAGTGGCTTTCCGGGACCAGGAGCTGACCGATGCCGAGATCGCGAGGAAGCTGCAAGAGGAAGAGCTTCTGGTGAGCAGAGCGGGCCGCGCGTGGCTGACGAGTGACGGGGGAACGAACCCTCGGCCAGCGTCGGCTGCAATTGCAAACTGACGTGCGGCTGGCGCGTCGGGGCAGTTTCTTAAAGGCTGGCCCGAGGGGGGTTAAAAGCCGGTCTCCACGCGGGCGCTTTGGGTCCTGTGCCAGACCTTGCGACAGGACCTCGCGCAGGGATCGCGCACTCCCCGCACGCTGGCAGGGACCGTAACGGCCGAGTAGGCTTCTTGGGTGGGGCAGGCGGGAAGAGAGTTATAATCAGGAGCAGTGATAACCCCCCACGCCACCCTTTTCGCCTCTTCCTACCTCCTCATGGGGAGT